CAGACTTGGGCACCTTTGGCCCTTAAGAAAGCTTCAGCTGGCTGATTCAGTTTACCAGATCTGGGGAAGTTAAAAGGCTGCTACTAGAAAGCAAGACAACTACTCATTATTGAGCACTTAGTATATTTTCAAATTCTTTCCATAATCCATCAAACCAGGTATTATTTTCTCCATTTCACAGAGTTAAAATAAAATAAAACAATGAAAAACCAACTGAGAGCAAGAACTTGCCCTAATCACAGCTGGTAAGTAGCAAAAAAACTTATTTTTTCAAAAAGACTTCCTTATTACAAATACCTTTCTTTCCCTCTGTCTTTCAATCATTCATTCACTCAATCAGAAGCAAGGAACTACCGTGTGCCTTCCTGGAGCCAGGCGCCCCACTGGGCATGAGCCACACCAGCCTCCCTGGGAGACTGTAAGGAGGGTTGGGAGGTGGGCAGGATGGAGTCTGTACCACCGCATTTACCTTTGCTTTGTAGCTGGAAGAGGAAAAGAGATCCCAGGCCTCTTTTGATTTTAATTATTCAGGTGGTTTGGGGAAAAGCAGAGGGTTATGGTTATATAAGCATAGCTAAAGCAGGCCTCTGTTGCTTACTTTGGGAACTTTCCAGAAGCTAACACCAGTAGCAGATAATGTTAAAAATGGGTTAAAATCATTATCAGATTATGAATAATTCACGAGGCACCCCCTGTTACCCATTACATTTTGTTCTACATAATTGCTTTCTGGAAACCAGCTCCCAGGGCAGGGAATTGGGAGTATGCATGAAATTGAGTATTTCTGCCTTTGACAAGTAAATTTAAACAAAATTGCGAATTAGTTTTAGTCCCCTGCTGCCTATCCCTTTTGAGTTGATAAGACTAGTCCTTTACCCCAGCAAAATAACTGAGCAAGGAAAAAAGAATGTAAATCTCTGACAGGGAAGTCAGCTTGGTTCCTATTCATCATACCAGGAAGGGTCCCAAGGGTTCTAAATATTGTGGGGGATTCGGGGTGGGATGGGAGTCTGAAGGAGGGATGTCTGAGGGAGAATTAGAGTGAAGCCACAACTGTACTCTGGGTGGTATGATACAAAGATGGCAATGACCAAGATAATAAGAGTAATCCTTTTAAAAAATTGAAATGTAATTCATATGCCAGAAAGTCACCCTTTTAAAGTATACAGGTCACTTTACCCCAGCCCCTGGCAGCCATTAATATACTTTCTGTCTCCATAGATTCAGCTGCTCTGGACATTTCATATAAATGGGATCATGTACCATGTTGTGTTTTGTGAGTGGCTCTTTTTGCTTAGCAGATTTTCAAAATTCATCCATGGTATAGCATGTGTCAGAACATCATTCCTTTTTATGGCCACCTAATATTCCATTTATATGTATGCCATACTTTGTTTATCCATTCATAGTTAATGGAAGAGGGGTTGTTTCTCCTCTTTGGCTATTATGTGTAATGCCACTATGAAGATTCACATACAGGTTTTTGTGTGAACATGTCTTTAATTCATTTGTGTATACACCTAAGAATAGAATTGCTAGGTCATAAGGTAACAGATGCTCAATTTTTTGAGGGAGTGCCAACTGTTTTCCACAGTGCCTGCACCATTTGGCACTTCCACCAGCCATGAAGGAGGAGTCGGCCCCTTCCTAGCAGTTCCTCCAGAAATACCCTCGCTTTATCCTCCTCATCAGAATGTATCTGTTCTGCAATATCAGTGACAACTTAGCTGAAATCTTAATCTACATGACTGGTTTCTGGATAACACATTTGCAATTTCAGAAGCACTTCCTGGAGATACAGTAATACATTATTTGGGACACTTCCAAATGCTAAGAAGCAAGATGTATTTACTTCGGATGCTGGGAAGATAGCGGGGGAGCTTACAGACTCTAAGAGGGAGTTACAGGAAGCAAGTCTTCAAAGTGAATTTCTCTCCCGCTTTCCACCCCCCACCTTCTGAATCTCCCTCTGGTTTTTCCTTTCTTTGGTGCCCACTTTCCGCGACACTCTTTCTGTCTCTCATCTCTGTGGCCTCTGCTTGGCCTCATTCCACAACAGGTCATTTCCGTGAGCAAGAGGGATGGCCGCCACCGCCCAGATGTATAGCCCCCAGCTCCCACACCCACATCCGTGGACAGATCAGAAGCCGGGGCCCTTCCCCGCCCGCCCCTGACCTGACTGTGCAGGGCCTCCTCAGTCATTTCATTCTGTTGCACCTTTACTCTCTCCAAATGAGTGGAGCGGAATCTTTTTTAGAAGATGGATGAACAACTTCAGTAATTGAAAGCATTTTCTGTTTTACTCTCAGTAGGTTCCAAAATCAGAGGAGGACTCTCACAGGACTTCCAAAGTTTCTCAAATAAGGCTAATCAGCTATTAAAGCCCACATGCTAAAAAGAGAAAATGAGCTGAATCCGCAGATGTTAGGGCTGGGAGACCCTTTGGGCACCGCCTAGGCCTCTGACTTGCGTCACGCAGGAGCAGCTGGGGCCCAGAGCTGGAAGGGGCCTGATGGGTCTTGCCGATAAAGTGGCAGGGCGAGCGCCGAATCCCTCTTCCAGCCTATGCCCTTTCTTCTTGGCCAGGCCTCTTCCTGTTGGCATTCTCCCCAACAGCACACTCAGAATTAAAAAAATACACCTCAGATATGTAGTAAAGGCATGAGAAGGAGGTGCCCAATGGAATGCAGAGATGTTCCGCTTCCATTCGCTCTTCGGGCGTTGCAGGAACCCAGTCTACGCCTCCCGGAGGACTTCCTGCTGAAATCAGCACTGTTTGTACTGTAAGGTGGCTTGGCTGTGAGTCACAACTACACAGGAAGCATCTTAATGAGATTTCTCTGTCTAAAAGAGGAGAGAATTTAAAGATGTGGAGCAGAAAGAGGTACAGACATTTCTGAAAGTGAAATAAAGAGCTGAAACCTACACACTTGATCTGAGTACTAACGATGTGTGTGAAGTTCTGCGGGCGAAGATGTTTCAAACACAGTCCCCTCCTTGCACATTTGCATCTAGTTACCCAGGAGAGGAGACATACTTCTGGGAATGTTTTGGTCTTTCTTTTTTTTTTTGCACAAATTTGTAAGAGCTCTTTATACTAAGAGTTTAGTTCTTATCTGTCTTGTAAGTTGCAAATATTTCTCTCCAGCATTTCTCCATCTTTTAACTAGTTTTTCTCTTCTGAAGCATTCACTTTCATAAATGATCATATCTAGCAATTTCTTTGTTTTGCCTAATCTTCGATGCCAGGATTCAATATCTTCCTCTACTTCAACTTTTTTAAACCAATGAAACTCTTTTATTATAAAATCACTGAAACTTCCCCTAAAAGCTCAAGTTCACAGTAACTTGAATGTGACAGAATTAAGAGTTGCCTCCAAACCCATCCTACTTCAGTTTTCTTTACCTGAATTTTCTTCTAATGCTTCTGTATATTTAAGTATTTAAACTATCTGGAATTTATTTTGGTATAAAATGTAAAGTAGGGAATCTGTTTTTGTTTTATTGCTTTTTTTCCCCCAAAATAATTCATCAGTTATTACAATAACATCTATTGACTAATAATGATTCACTCCCATTAATGTTTTATAGAGGCACAGACAGAGAGGATGTATACCAGATTGTTGTTGTTTTAAAATAAAATATGTGCATAAATCCATTACACTCTCCCCTTCAAAGAGTGGAATTTAATTCCCCTCCCTATGACTGTTGACTGGACTTAGTAACTTAGTAAAGTATGAGGGGTGGTGTAAGTGATGGCGTGTGGCTTTTGAGGCTGTCATACCAGGCACGTGGCTTGCTTCTTGTTCTGTCTTGGATCACCCACTCAGGGGAGGGCAGCTGCCAGCCCCTGAGGACCCTCAAGCAGCCCTACTCTAAGATCTAGGTGGCAAGGAGCTGAGGCCTCCCGCCACCAGCCAGGAGAGCGAGCCTTCTTGAAAGTAAATCCTTCAGCCCCGGTTGAACCTTCAGATGACTGCAGCCCTGGTCAGTGCCTTGAGTGTGACTTCGTGAGAAATCCTGGACCCTAACCTCCCAGCTAAGCTACTCTTGAATTCCTGACTACAGAAACTGTGAGATAACAAATGTTTGTTGTTTTAAGCTACAGGGTTTTGGGGAAATTTGCTATGAAACAATAGAGTATTAATATAATGGTTATGATGTATTGAATGAATCCATGCATTTGTGGGTTTTTTCCCAATTCCTTTTCTTCTTCTTACCTCCTACCCTTCATTATAATCCTTTTGTGCTATTTATGCCATTGAGTAATGCTGATTAGGCATTCTATAAAATCACCGTGATCTGCAGTCATTGTATTAGTTGAGGCATTTGTTTGGCTGCTTTAACAAAGACCAAATAACAGCAGTTATCTAAAACTGTAGCCACTAGCCACAGGAACTATTTTACTTTATTAACATTAAATAAAATGAAAATTTTAACTGTTTTTCACACTAGCCATATTTCAAGTGCTTAATAGCCACATGTAGCTAGTGGTTACTTTATTGAACGGTGCAGATGTGTAATATTTCCATCACCACTCTGTCTTACCCTCATACACAACGTAGAGGAAGATTCAGCCCCACCATGTTCCAATTTACAGGCAGAGAGAAAATAAGAGTACAAGCAGTCTTCCTGTTAACGCACGACCTAGAGGGGGAGCGCCTTCTGCCTCCATCCCATTGGCCAGATTTAGTCACGTGGCTAAAGGTAGAACAATTGCCGCTGTTAAGGATGCAGGGAAAGGTAGACTCACGGAGGGTGGCTAATCTCAAGGTGAGACGGCCTATTACTAAAAGGAAGGCTGACACAAAGGACATGGGGAACCATGTGGCCGTGTGCCCTGTCACATCCCCACTTCAGAGCGCCCCGTTCTGTCTGGGAGTCTCCAAGAGGAGCCTCACAGGTGCCCACCAATCAGCCTGCCTACAATCACCAGGAAGCTTCTAGCCTCCTTTTATTTTTAACCTCAGCCCCGCCCCTTCCTGACCATGGCTCCTGAATCCCCTGGAAAAGCACTGCCTCTGCATAAACCATCCTGAGAGGCCCCAGAGGGAATGTTTCTTGAGCGCTGCGGCTGGAACTGGCTGCATCTGAGCTACATCAGGCCCCCTGGGCCCTCGAGTGGCTCCGCTTTGCCTTGAATATCAGGAAATCCATCTTGAATTTTCCACCTGCGTCTTGCTGTAAGCTCCTCTCTCTGTAGAGCGCTCAAGTTCAGTCCAAAAGAGTGGGTAGAGGGCGCAAGTCCTTCTCTACTTACAGACATTTATTCTCCCTCCCACAGAGAAAACATCCCACACAAATGGGTGGCGACCCATGGGGGCTGCCGGGGGTATGGGTTAAAGCCCCAAGAGCAGCCAGGTCATGTGCTCTGCTGTTCCCCGGGCCCTTTTCATAGACCTCACCGGAGAGACTCCTTTGCTCGCTCACTCCCCCAGTTAGCATTTGCCCTCTCCCAGGCACAGTCACCTCCCCTCTCGGCCCCAGAGGAACAGGCCCTGCCTGTGCTTTTGCATTACAGATGACCTAGCATTCTCGGGGCGCGAGTGCCTCCTGCCCTTTAGACCGAGGAAGGAGCGACTCTGTGGCCTGCAGAGGACTACCTTGCCCTCTTCCTTCCAGCTGGTATTCCCTGGTAAGAGGGTTTTGTTGCGAGAGCGGGAGGGAGCTAGCTGCTCAGTGGGACAGCTTGGCAGCCTTCAAGTCACGCATACCAGTCTTCTAAAAAGCAACTCCACTGCTGGAAACATTTAAAGGACACATGCAAAGATTTAATAGCAAGAGTACTCATTATAAAGCTGTTTATCATAGTGAAAAATAGGCAATAACCCAAATGTTCAAGAGTAATGGGATTGTTCAAATTATGGTACATCCTTAAAATGTGACTCTATTTAGCTTTTAAAAACTAGGCTGTGGATGAATGTTCATAGGCATGGAAAGATGGTCATGGTCAATTGTTAGAAAAAAATTGTGATAAATGCCACTTTTGTCTGAATACATATACACTGATAGATGTGTGGGTGGATCTATATCAAATGTGATTGATAACTGACTTGAGATGATGGGTATTTTTATTGTCTTCATTCTAGGTGGGGGTTCTGCTTCCTTGTAAAGAAGAAAATGGTAAGAATTATTTTCATTTCAAACTTTGACTGCCTCCCTACTGGACTGGCTAAACTGAAAAAGGACTGATGATACCCAGCAGTGGTGGGAATGTGGAGCGACCAGGACTTTCCTGCACGGCTGATGGAGTGTGAATTGCAACAGTTCTCCACTTTGGATGGCTGCCCAGCAGTATTAGTAAAGAAAAGCATTCATCTACCCCATGACCCAGCCCTTCCTTCCTTGGGAACATGTTAATAAAAAGGAGTGTTTATGGGCATCAAAGTACACGTACATCATTCATTATAGCTACATTGATGATAGCCAAATACTGACTTATTTAATGCCATATATCCAAAATATTGTCATTTGGACATTTAATCACTGTTTAAAAGTTATCAATGATACATGTTCCTTTTTTTTTGTCCTAAGTTGTCGAAAGCATTATCTTACATTTAGAGAACATCTCAATTCCAGCTAGCCACACTCTGTTTGCTCAGAAGCCACACAGGGCTGATAACTGCTCATCAAAGCACAGGACCATATCTTGTTCTAGTGGTGGCTCCGTGAGCACATACTTATATAAAAATTCATCAACCTGTACATTTAAGATATAAAAGGTATACCTCAATAAAATAAACAAATGCATTTTAAATAAACCTTTTTTAACGAGGGCTAGGAGACCTATCAAGGAAAGAAAAGCAGCCTATGGCTGCTTAGCTCAGCTGACCTGCCCTCTCCGGGACTAAGGACATTGTTCAGAGTCCCAAGGGCAACCCTTCAAGTGAGCTGACTTGCCCGTGTGACAAATTTCAACCCAGGGTGTGGTGGAACAGGGTGAAACAAGCTCTACTAAATGAAGGAAGAATAGAAACTTAGGGAGAATGTCCTAATGCTAATAGGAGCTTGGAGTGATTCTAAAAGTTTAAACACAGAATTTATATCCCTCCTCAGAGCCCCCTGCCATATGACAATCATGTCCACTTATTGCCAGTTTACGAAGGCACCGTGCTGAGCGCTCTCCACGCATTATCTCATTCAGCAGAGACAGGGAGCTGAGGCTCTGGAGTCAGTCAGTCAACCTGCTGTATCAGGAGCCTACGAGCAGGTGCTGTTCTAGGTTCTGGAAAACAGCAGCCCCGGCCAAGGCCCTACACTCAGATGTCACACCAGAAGCTTCCCTTGGACCAGATTTGGGTTTCAAACCTGTCTGTGTCTTTCACTAGGTGATTGACCATTAGCCCCTCCAGGTCTTGGTCTCTATATCTATGAATTGGCAAAAAAAAGCCCAAACAAACAAACAATGATTTGCCTTAAAGGTGTGTGTGAGGATTAAAGTTCTTAGAGCAGTGCCCCCCACACAGTAAAGACTCGGTAAATACTGGCTGTTCTTTACAGGACTTGAGGTGGGTACCCTTCTTGCCCCCATTTTTATGTGTGTGGTAAAATATACATAAAATTTACCATTTTAACCATTTTTAAGCATACAGTTTAGAGGCATTAAGAACATTCACACTGGTATGCAGCCATTGCTATCATCCATCTCCAGAATTTTTCCCATCTGTCAAACTGAAATTCTATACCCATTAAAAATAACCCTCCATGCCCTAATCTTCCTGCCCCTGGCAGCCACCTTTCTACTTCCTGTCTCTATGAATTTGAATACTGAAAGCATTCAGTACCTGATTCAAGTAGAATTATACAATATTTATCCTTCTGTGACTGGCTTATTTCACTTAACATAATATCCTCAAGGTTCATCCATGTTGTAGCATGTGACTGGATTTCCTTCCTTTTTTTTTTTCATAGCAGCTATATTTATAATAAATTTAAAAAATGGAAACAACTAATATGCCCAAAATCTCCAATAAACAAATTGTTTATTCATGTTATGGAATATTATGCAGCAATAATTTTAAAATGATAAACTGCCAATGCACACAACTATAAAAATGACTTTTAAAAGCATTATATTGAGTGAAATGAATGAAAGATGCTAGACAAAAGATAACATACTATATGATTCTCTTTAACTGAAATTCTACAACAGATAAAAGTAATATAAACTGATATAAATGTTGGGAAGGAAAAGACTCAGCTCAGTGTCACAGGGAAGTCAGATATAGTGAGACAAGAGACCAAAGTCAAGAAAGCAAAGTAAGTTTTTAGACACTTAGAGTAGCAGAGCAGGCCTGCCTAAGGGGAGACAGGCAGGCCTGGATGCTCATTCTGAGGCTTCTTTTATGTGGTTTTTGGCATGGCAGAGAGGTCCTTGATTGACAGCTGTCAGCTCTCTAGGCTTGTTCTGATTGGTGAAATGGGGACAGGGGCTGTGCTGTGCTGTGCCTCTCATGTTTCTTATCTGGGGGGATCCTGGATATTTCCTGAGTCACTCTTGGACCCAGCTCATTTCTGTCTGATTTCCTTCTTTTTTAAGGCTGAATAGTATTCCATTGTATGTACAGGTCACATTTTGTTCATCCAATCATCTATTGATAGACATCTGGGCAGGTTCTACCTTTTGACCATTGCAAATAATGCTGCTATGAACATAGAGGCACAAGTGTCTTTTCAAGTCCTTGCTTTCAATTCTTGGTATATACCCAGAAATGGAATTGCTGGTTCATACGGTAATTCCATTTTAATTTTTTAAAGAACTGCTATGCAGTTTTCATAGCAATGTACCATTTTACATTTCTACCAGGAGTGCACATGGATTCCAATCTCTCCACATCCTCATCAATACTTGTTTTCTCCTTTTTCTTCCTTTTTTTAAAATAATAGCCATCCTATAATAGGTGTGGAGTGGTATTTCATTCTGGTTTTGACTTGTATTTCCCTGCTGGTTAGTGGTGTTGAGTAAGCATCCTTTCATGTGTTTACAGGCTGCTTGTATATCTTCCTTGGAGAATTGTGTAACCAAGGCTTTTGTCCATTTTTTATTTGGGTTGTTTATTTTTTTTGCTGTTGAGCTGCAGCAAGGTGTTTTACGAGCATTCAGTGCTTTCTTCCCACAATGCCTCTAGAGCCCGCTCTTCATCCCCCCAGGAGGCACAGAGCAGGCCTTGCCTCCTCTCCAGGCATCACCCAAGTCAGACCAGACTGACAAATGAAAGCTGCAACAGTAGCTATAGACAAGAAATAAACCCAGCAAGAAGGGAGGGGAAGGCCAGCCAAGGGGCTAAACAAACAGCCTCCAACTTTGCTCAATCCACATATTAATTAGGTACAAAATATCAATGCCTCAGATCCAAAGGAGAACTGATTCATGTAAATTTCATATTTGAACTTCACAAGGGGAATGGGCCTTTGCACATTCTAGGAACGGCTCTCCCTGCCTCCCCCGCAATGGAACAGCAGCAAAGACCAGAAGAAATAAGAAAGAAGGGTGAGGGGCCTGGAGAGATGCTAGGTCCTATGCAATTAGGCGTCTGGGAGCAGAACATGTCTTGGGGGAGAAGCAGGGAGTGTGGTCCCTCCCATCACATTCTCCAGAGGTGGTGTCTTAGAACAGCTGGGTAGCAGGTAAGTTGATGTTAACAGGGCAAGTGAGGCCATGCTGAGAATTGGGCAGAGAAGACATGTGAGAGCCAAATCAGGAGACTCTTACAACCACCAGCACTTTTTAAACATATTTGCTCCCCTGACAGTGACCCCAGTCCTGCCCCAAGCTCCTTCCCCTGGATGTTAGGGGAAGCTCTTCACAAGGAAACATGCCAGATGATTCATGGGCACCTCTCCAGGGATATGGCCTCAGTGGACCCAGAAACCTGCATTCTGGCCCAGCTACCCATGATGATGGTGGTACCAGTGGCTGGAGCCCACACTCGGAGCCCCTCTGGCTTCCCCCAGCCTGTGGGACAGCCATCACAGCCTCTTTCTCAAATCCTGGAGCGGACTCCTGAGATTATGAACAGAAAAATTAAGGAGTGATGATATTTACCCCATGACAAAAGGATTCTTCCCTCCCCAAACAGATTTGCTGAGATGATTTTTCAGGCACTTGCCCTTAAGTGTTTATTTGCCACATGAAGAGCGTGAGGGAGAAGTTTGGCAGATGGCATTCAGGGGGGAGGTGGAGGGCATTTCAGAGCCATAGCAAACTGAACATCGCTGAGCAATGAAGGTAAAATGAAAATCATAAGCTAACATTACAGAGAACAGGATTTGGTTTACATACTTGTCAAGAACACATCCACTTGTAACTGTGATAATAATGACATGAATCTCATGTGCCAGGTCCTGTGCTAAGTGCTAATGAATTCATTAAAAATACTTATCTATGAACAAGTACATAAATAAACAAGTACAAAAATATAAAGCAAGGTCGTAGGTACAAACGGTCGTAGGTCAAACAATGTAGCCTTGTGGTTCAGCACATGAGCTCTAGACAGCCTCGGGTTCAAGTCCTGGCCCCATCATTCATCCACTGTATAACCTTAGCAGGGGACGTCTCTGGGCCTCCCTTCCTGTCAAAGAAGGACGCACGTACCTCACAGGGCTGCTCCGCTGATTAAATGAGATGATACGTGCAAAGTTCCCAGCACCTCCCTGGCATGTAGCACAACAGCCTATGAGAATTCTGAATGGTTGTTCCTATCATCATTGCTGCCGGAGTGGAGTGTGAGTCCCCCGTCGCAGAGTAGGGCGAGTCGGGTCTGTGAGGGGCCCAGGGGCAGCTGCCAGCGTAGCTGCGGAGGTGTGACCAAGGCAGGAAGCCATCCGCCTTGTTTCCGTGCTGGATGACCTCCCCACACAGAGAGCAGGCCCTAGACACTGCAGGGATCCAAGAAGTAGGTAACAGCTCACTTTAAGAATCAAATGGGATCGTACACAAACAGTGACTGCTGCACAGCAAATATTCGATCATCATTAGGCATGATTATTCTCTAGAATTTTATAAGATATTTGCTGCAGTGTCTCTAAAAACATGACCTCATCAGCAGTTAGCATCAACCAAGCACCTCTTCCGAGCATCCAGGTGCCTGACACCTTCACCTTCTCACGGTGACGGCATTCCACTTTCTTTTGGGGAACTTCGTCCCTCCATCCCATGGTCCTGCTGGGGCTGCCAATCACAGCCTCAATTCCAGCCCCTGACAGTCCCATTAAAGCCTAATTCAGCCTGAGCCACCAGGTAGGAGCCTGCAGTCTGACAGCATCAGATTTCTTGACTCAGTGCAGTGAGGTGGGGCACTCCAGAGGACAGTGCGAGAAGGGCAGGCCTTTGGAAACTTTGATTTCCAGGTGCAGGATTCCAAGGAGGGTCT